ACCCTCTAGGAAAGAGCAGACCTGGCCCAGTGGGGACGCAGGCACACGAGAAGCTGGCGATACCGTCCACACAGCGCCCGTGGTGGCAAGGGTCCGGAGAGCAGTCGTCTATGTTTCGTTCACAGAGGGTGCCCTCAAAGCCTGCGGGGGAGCAGGAGGGTCAGGCTCTGCCCACTGCAAGGTCCTGCCCTCCAGGAAGCACTGCCCGATCCTGGCTCCGCCCTGCCTCGGGCCCCGCCCATAAGGCCATCCTGCAAGGAGGCGGGGCTCCGGTTTGCCCCCTTTCCATCCCGCTAAAGGCTCAGCCCTCTCCTGGGGCTTTGACCCTCTCAAAGCTGTGCCCCAACCTCCAGTTCTTACCCTGTCAACCCGGTCATCGTCCTGACAGGAGGTGGGGGGACACAAGGGAGTCGTAGGGGGAGGTGGGCAGGTAAAGGGGTTTGGACCCACCCCCTCTAGTTCAACAAATTCTGGGTCCTACTGGATCCTTTGGCCCTCCCTCAAAGAGCCCTGAGAGTAGCCATGGGCTGTTAACCACAAGGTCAGCAGTTCGAAACCTGCCGCTCTGCAGGAGAAGGGGCTTTCTACTCCCACAAAGATCTACAGTCTTGGAAACCCAGGGGGCAGTTCTACCAGGTCCTACTAGGGTCCTATGGGTCCACATCGATTACCATGGCAGTGCTTTGGGTTTAGTGTTTGGGGAGGAGGTCTGGAGGAGCCCTGGTGGCTTAATGGGGGTATCCATTGGGCTGCTTACTGCAAGGTCAGCAGTTTGAAACCACCAGCTGCTCCGTAGGAGAAAGACAAGGCTTTCGACTCCCGTAAAGAGTTATAGTCTCAGAAACCCACATGGGCAGTTCTACCCTGTTTTGTAGGGTCGTTAAGAGTGGTCACTGACTCAAGGTCAGTGAGTTAGGTTTAAGTTCAGCTGCCTGGTAGCCTCTCAGGCAAGCACCGGAAGGCTAACTGCAAGGTTGGTGGTTCAAACCTACCAGCTGTTCCTTGGGAGAAAGATGAGGCTGTCTGCTATTGAGACTGAAACCCACCGTTGAGTCAGGATGGGCCAGGCCCTGCTTTGCCTCAGCTTCTCAGTAGCACTGCCTGCCTGTCAAGATCTCCCTAAGCCTGTTACTGGCCCTCTCCCTATATGCCTCACCTCCAGACCCCCTCTGGCCTGTCACTGACTGGCTCTCGCCCCACCCTCACCCTCACCCTCACCCTCTGCGCAGCGGCAATCGTATCCATCCGGCTGATCCACGCACTTGGCACCGTTTCTGCAGGGCGTGCTGGCACATTCGTCCACGTCCAGCTGGCACGTGGCCCCACTGAAGCCTGGGAGGGTGGGGGGAGGCGAGGGGCGGCCCAGGCAGGGTCAGAAGCAGTCACTCCTCGCTGGCCCCCGCCTCCCCTCCCCGCTCCCTTGGGCCAGGGAAGCCCATTTCCTTGTGTTAAACTAATTCCAAAGATGTTCACAACTGCGATTCCCCATCAGCCCAGCCGCATGTGCCTCCCCCCTCTCCCCCCAGGGCCTCTTGGCTCCGGG